TGAGTGTGCAAGTTCGTATGTATGTGACTATGCAATTATATTGCACGTATAATGAGCACATTCACTCTGCATGTATTCTCTTGAGAAGGATGAATAGAAACGTTATATGTGTGCGTGTGGGGGTGTTTCTATGTGATTAGGGTTGTGTAGTGTAGTGTAGTGTAATGTAGAAATGATTAGAGGAGTGGTATTATTGTGAACCGATATCCTTCGAAGGACAATGCATTCTATGATACCTCTTTCCAAAAGTTGCTAGCCATTTACCAATATTTCCTAGGAAATCAAATAAATAAAAATACATCAAATACATTCTTTAATAATGAAAAAGTATATATTAATAATTAATAATAATATTAAATTAATATAATTTCTTCATTTATCGATATTTTCAAAATAATATTAATAAATCAGATATTATTCTTCTCTTTTAATATTTTATCTCTTTTTTTAAATATTAATAAAACAATGCGAAGTATTATTTTTATCGATCGCAACTTTATCTTTAGGGGAGATTGTTTTTAAAATAAAAAAGGAAAAAATAATATTTCTATCGCAACGATTTGCGAATTGGAAATGAGTTATTCTCGAAAAAGTTTAATGAAAAATTCAGACTGTCTCGCGTTAGATTTCCTGATCGTTGGACTATGATGATCGGTTTCTATTTGGAGAAAAAAAAAGAAAAAGAAAAGATGGGGAAGAGACACGATATTTCGAAAGGTTCGTGTTGCCTTGCCTTTTGTTTCGTTGCCTTTAATCTAAAGATTCGGAACAATAGAACTGGTGTGTTCTACCTTTCAAAAGGCGAACACTTTTTCCATTTTTTTTCTCTCTATTTCTTTCTTTCTTTCTTTCTTTTTCTCTCTCTCTCTTTTTTTTTAAGGGTAGCTTCGTGGATTTAGAGATAGAACGGATATTTTCAGATTCTTAAAATTGCGACACTCCGATCGAAATATTTTCGCGTCTGAATTGCGTCTATTTAGAAATGTTTTAATAGAAAGTAGGACACTGATATTGAATTCATAATGTGTGTGTTCATATATAGAACACATTTGTACGCTTTTGCAAATATAGTTGGCATTGGAGTTGATGGTTGAAATGAGAAAAACAATTTTTTAGAAATAATATGATGTATATTTTTTTTTAATATCAAAAATTTATTGTGGTTATCTTTATCTTGTAAAAAAAAAACAATACTATAAACCAAAGTTTCTTGTTATTGAATAATTTAATTTGTAGAAAATAAAATACATCATTTAACAATTAAAAACTACTTGTTACGCCACGTCAATGTTTCGTAAAAGAATATTGAGTGAGGTTTAGCGAATTATTATTTCTTTTATAATTTTAGTTTCGTGAATCATTTATCTATATCACGTGTTTTTACTTTAACTACTGAATATAAGTCTTGCTTGTTTTTTGTTTAGACTACTGAAATTTGCCTTGCCGAATATTTATGATAACTACTGAAAATAGTGTCACTCGTGACTTAGTTGTACTACTGCGAAAAAAAGTATAGAAAACAATGGCATGATGATGCAACGTGCATTTTATTTTCACATTTTTATTTATCATAATTCATTATCAGCAATTAAATGTGTTAAAAAATATATCGTTTTAACGTTTAAACAACATAGGTTAACCGGATTAAATCGAAGTAACTTCAGCTTTTCAATTACTGTAAATGTCAGAGGGCATGTTTGTTGTTATCTATTTCAATAAAAGCAACCGATCATTGTATCGACAACGATGAAGATTTAATAGCGTTCTCACTGAAGTAAAGTACTTTCTTATTTTCCGACAACGATGAAAGCTGATAGTCGAAAAATGAAAAGAACTGACAATGACAAGAACTTCTATTTCTTTTTCTTATACAATATCTATGTCGAAAAATGAAATCGATATCTAATATATATCTATATATCTGTCTATCTATATATATATATATATGTGGTATCTAAAAGATGCTTTCAATGTATCTCGATTTTTCGTGATCGATTTCTCACTTACGTGACCTATGTCAAAATAGGAAAGAATGAAAAACAGTACATATATGTACATATGAGATACGTTTTATCTTTCAGATGAATTCATGTTACATGAAAGAGAACACGGATAACTAAAGGGATCGATTGGTAATCTGAAATCGATAAAATATATCATTGATTAAAGTTACGCTTTAATTTAGGCCATTAACAAAAACGATTTGATATGATTATTATGAAATACATACATTTGTATATATGTTTATATATTTGCTGTTAATTTTTTACGGTAGTGAACTTACAATAAGTTAGAAAAAATTGAAAAAATAAATTTTATGATTTATTTTCTATTATAAAATTAATATTTTAAACTAAATCATAAAATAAATTCGTATAATTTTTTGACTTAGTCCATTATAATTGTTAAACAGTCCGTTATCATAGTCTTCATTAAATTTCTATTATAAATAAGTATTATATTATATTCAAATAATAATTTATTTATATAAATGAATACTTCAAATATATATAATTTAATATTTAAATTAATTTTAAAATAATTATAATAAAGGTTTAACCTCTGTACTTTTTCTTAATTCTTTATTCGTACACTATTAATAATTGTAATGTTAAAAAAATCAAAGAACAATTTTATTATGTTCATAGAGAGTAGAAAATATTGGTTTTTTTTTTATATTGAAGAAAAACATGATAGAATAGTAAATGTTCCAAAACAATATAACCCTAAATGATTTCGCGCTGTATAAAGTGGAATCCTTTGAATAAGAATATATATTCGAGTTTGTCAACGATTTTCTAAGTTTCTCCTGTATTTTAATCGTATACTAGAACAATCTCTTTCTTTCTTCTTTCTCTTTCATTCTCTTTTCTTCTTTTTTTTTTTTCAAAAGCCTGCCACATTTTCTGCCCGACTCATTACAAAAGCCTTTCTCGGATTCTCCAGCAAAGAAGGAAGAAATTTCTTTTTGCAACGGGAGATCGTTTCTATTTTAGTTTGTTCATTTTTTCTTATTTTTATTCTTATTCACTCTTTATCTCTTCCTTTCTTTCCCTCCAATCCTTGATCCTTTCGAAGTGATACTACCGGTGCTCTACCCTAAAGAAAGTATCTTTGCGTGAATAAAAAGATAAAAATGAGAAAGAAAATTGTACAAATAATACATTTTTTTTATTTGATAGAACGAACGTGAAAAATTTATGTTTTTATTATGAACAAAGTAGATTAAAGTAATAGATTTTACGTGAAATTTATATTAAATAGTAATAGAAGATGCAAGGTGTAAATATTGTGCAAAAGGAGGTTTACAAATTTTCTATTAAAAATTTCATTGATTTAATACTGTTCTCAAAACTTTGTAGATTAAATATTATTTTTTATATATAATAACAGGTTGTAGATATTGTACAAAAATGGGTCAAAAATTTTTAAAAGTAATTTTTAATTTTAATTTATATAATACTTTTTTCAAACATTTTTTATTACCTTATTATACTTGTAAGGTTAAGAAAAATATGAAGACACAAAGAAAATAATTAAATAGAATAAAATTAGTTTGAAATATCTCTCGGAAGAATAATTAATTTTTATTGGAATGTTACATGAGGAATTTTTGGGCCACCTTTTACGTATACATGCATACATACTTAATTATTTGTCATATATTTAAGTGCTTTCTTTTACGTTTAAAAGAAACTGTATTTCACTGAAAAATATAATCGTATATTTTCCCTCTATCCTTGTCGTCTTTCTTGATTTCATTGTAGATAACTCACTAAAGATAAATCTCTACTTTCAAGATCGTACTCGACGTTTAATTCCTAGAAACGATGTTTAACAGAGATTGCATTGAGAGGAAAAGAGTAAAGAAGAGAAGAGAGTAAAACGTATGTAATGCCTTTTTTTTAAATCCCAACTACATACTCTACTTAAACCATTTGAACTTTTGACAAATTTCGGTCGTAACAATGTTTTTGTTTAAAAGATTAAAATTAAATCACTCTGTTTACTATTTCAATTAGTTATAATATATCTAACAAACTTAATTTGGTATACATATGTATGTGTGTGTGTTTTTCGCTTGTATTAGTTCCTTTGCGTACTAATTATTTTCATATTTTATCATATAAAAGATAAATTTGGAATATTTTCAATTTAAATTTGTACATAACTGATATAATAGATTTCATTTCATTTTTAAATTTAATTTTCATGTGCGCAAGAGAATTTTTTCAATATCTAATATAATATATTTATTTTTACAAATATAATTGCGATTGTGTGTGAGTGTTTATATTTAAAGATTATTTTCTTATTAAAATTAATAAATGATATACATTTTAGATATTTGAAAGTTGAGTTTGCGCATTTGTTAGTTCGTTCATTTATTATTGAGCATTCTTGGGATCTTAGTAGGTAGGACAGAGAGAGTTAAAGAGAGAAAGAGAAATATAGATAGTGTGTATGTATATGAATACAATAGTAGAGGGACAAATAAAGGTTGTTTATAAGAGCGTTTACATGCTAAACACGCTTTAGTTAGACGTTGGGTCTGTACCGGAAAGGTTGTGTCAAGGAAACGATCGTGTTATAGAGTTCATTTCACGGTAAATACAATTCTTACTTCTCATTATAAAATTATTTCTCATTTTCATCTTTATATTAATTAAATAAATTGTTAGAATATATTTATCGTATTTTTTAATTACTTTTATCATTGTTTTAAATTTTCCTCTCTCTCTTTCTCTCTTTCTATTTGTTAATAATATTAAACAATAAAATTGGATTGTTTTTCTTTTCAAGAGAATAATATCAGATAATGATCTAAAATTTATAATACAGTTTTAATAATTTGTCGTATAATCTGTAAGTTTTATAGTTGACAATAAGTTACAAATAATTCGTTCGTTAGACGATTTGTATGTTTATTTTGATATACATATATTACGTTGCTTTTTTATAGGGAACATTTTTCCAATTGAATAATATTTATTTTTCAGATGTCGTCTGGGATACCTCATCATGGTATGCGATGGTTATCGTGAGAAGAACTTGGGGTGTAGTCAAATAAACGTGTGAGGTAATTTATTATTACATATTTTATTTTTGTGATATATTTAACTGCAAACTATGAAAGCATTAAGTATACTTTTTTCAAAATTTATTTTGAAATTCGAGTTGTTATAATATGATAAGGATATTAAATACGTTTTCTTAGAAACAACTTAGAAGTTAGGATTTTTAGTATTTAATTTTGGTATTGAAGATTTTTTCTAAGAGTCAACAGAAAAATTAGGATCTTTAAAATATGACTAAAGTATTAAAAGTTTTCTATTTAAGACAACTTAAAATTAGAAATTAGAATTTTTAGAACATAATGAAAAATATCGCACATAGTCTCTTATTGTTAATCATCTTAGAAATGATTATTTTAAAAATTTATAATAATAAAGTTGTTGAATCGTGATTTTTTTTTAAACTGTGTCGGATAAGTATAAGAAAATTTTCGTAGAAAATAATAATTTAAGAAATTAACATTTTTAAACAAAAATATATTTTACTAACAAAGTATATAAAAAAACCTCGTAATAAATAATATCCCACGCGTGAAATAACTAAATATTTATTAGTTTTCTTTGGATTTAATGAAAGAAAGATAATAGAAAAGTTCTTTATCGATGATATCGCGCCCTCGGAATGTTCTCTTAGTTTTACATAGAATAATACTCGTCTTTTGCATAAAAGAATGGAATAAAAAGAAAAGCGTAAAAGCAAACTACATGACTGCACTTTCATCCTAGCTGTCCATCCAAGTACGCATTAGCAAGTTTTTCGTCGATGCTACGATAAATCATCGGTTGGCCTGAGAAAGATGAAGAGAGAAAGAGAGAGAGAGAGAGAGAGAGAGCGTACGCTCTTGGCAAATGAAAAATGACGGCCGAGGTAAATAAATGTTATGCAGGTCGGGAAGATAAAGGCACGATGCTTAATCTCGCTCAGGCGTATTCGGGTCGGCGCGTAATAAAGGCGTAATGAAATAACGTCACGTCGAATGTCGATCGTTTTGCCTTGGAATATAATAATAAGTATATTATAGTAATCGAATGTATAGGGGAAAAAGTATAGAATTTTTTTTTTCTTTTTTATCATACTTTTACGGTATTGCGAAAATATTGCATGTATTACTCTTCAAGATGCAACTTTTAAATTTTGAATTTATACGATAATATTTAATTGTTAATTCTATATATATTTTATTTAATAGTCTATTAGAATTAAGATTTTTATAATAAAATCTCTCGCGCGAATATATTTATATACTATTTTAGGTTATCTTCTTGTTATAATTTATTTTGATTTTTAGAACAGGATTCATATTGTATCATGAATATGGAATTGTTTTAATATTCATTTTTTATAATTAATTTCTTTAATTTCTTCTTATTGGATTAAGATACAATTTCATCTTAATTGGAATAATTTTAATACACGATGCTCGCGTTTATACCGTAAATAATTTTTCTTTCTCCTACACATGTATTTTAATAATTTTTTTATTAAAAGAACAAACAATTTGAATATATTTTCATTATTAAATATTAAACTATTAGAGTATTAGTAAATGTTTTATTTATATAATTAACAAAATTAAAAAATATAAGTAAAAATAGATTAACAAATTACAAACTATAGTAACGAAAAATCCAATTATACGTATAACGATATTAAATGAACGTACACTTAACAATTGAAAAAAAAAAAAAAAAAATAAGAAAAACAATTAGGGAAAATTTCGTTCTCAGGAAAGATCCAGTGATACATCTTAATCGATCGAAGTGAAACGAACATTAACCCTTTGAGTACTGAATACTTTTAGCTGAAGTGTTTTATAGGGACAGAGTAATTTATTATTAGTACGACTGTTTCCGTTGATTGATATTATAAATCCAATTTAATAACAAAATTATATTTATTAATTAAAGTTTTTATTTATTATATAATTTTCACGTGACAAGACACAATACAATAATCAATAGCAAACCAACATTACGTTATTTTACATTCACATTGACAAGCACGTATATGCTTCGATAAACCACATTGGCAACATTTATCAAACGCATATATGCGTTCATAGCAGTTAAAGAATTAAAATAAGAATAAAATTTAATAAACAATCAAAAAATAGAATAAAAGATATGCTGCGGTGATGATGGTTATGGTGGTGTGTGAATAAGTATATATATATATATACACAGAAAGTAGGAAAAGTCCATTCTCGTTCGTGCGAAAGAGAGCTTATAAATCACGAGTGATCGTTGGCGAAATTCCAAAAACGGAAAGCCGCGTGTTTCCGGGTATAGTATTACACGTACATATATATATGTATATAAAGATACACATATACATGTTTGTTATTGGCCGTGGTATGATGGCGGCAGTAGTGGTAACGACGGTGCATCCTAGCTGTTCGAAAAGCATCAAAATCCGCGTGATTTATTCTAAACCTGGCGATATTCGTGTCTCGTCGCGCGAAAGCCGGAGATAATGCTCGTTGATTGACGGGAGACAAGAGAACCCACGATGAAAACGAACGAGATCTCTATTCTCTCTTTTTATCTCTTCCTCTCTCTCTCTCTCTCTCTCTCTCTCTCTCTCTCTCTTTCACTCTCTCTTTAATGTTTCTTCATGTTATACTTTTTCTTTTTTTCATTTTTTTCTTTTAAGAAAGAAAAATATATCCAATTTAAAAAAAAAAAAAATGTTCAAATTTTAATAAGAAAAAAATCGCAAGTTCAATTCGGATTCAAGGTTATCCGAAGATTATGGTATACTAACAAGGGAAGTGCAAGGTCTTGCCCTCACGGATTTTGTTCAAATTTTGTAGGATAATAGATCTTGCTTCCTTATTCACGAGTATATATTGTTATAGGGGCCACTATTCAATAATTTTTTAGATATTTGCAATTAGAGATGATAAAGATGCCGTTTAATCCTTCAATTCATTTCTCAATTTTCAATTCTTAAATTCAAAAATAATATAAATATAATATTCATACAATATTCAAAAATAATATTCATACAATATTTGAATTAAAGAAAAATTTGTTCGATCTCTTTTTTATTACAATATTTAACCAATTGAAAACTAATCAATTTTTTTTGAAAATACTTTTTTATCAGGTTATGTTAAGTACTTGAAAAATCGTGAAAAGTGTTACATGGTATACGCTGCATATATTTAACTAGAAAAAAAAGAAAAAAATGTTAAAATGGTGAAATATTAAGAATCAGGTGGCGCAGGAGATCAGATGTATTTCTTTCTCTTACTGAATCTACGTGTATTGTTTCTATCTCTGTCTTATCTGTTAGCGACCTAATTAGTCATACCTCTTTCTCTCGTCTGAGTTTATCATAAATTCGAAGGTAAGAGAGAAGAAGAGAAGATCCATGTCGTAGTCGTCGTTGTCGTCGTAGTCGTCGTCTTTGGTGTTCACCGAGCAATGTTATAATTAGCACATTATGCGAGCGTTAGGATGATTTTCGTGTTTCTGGAAGTACTCCATTTTAGGTATTGTATTTCTCTCCGCCGCACTGTGAGAGAGAATATTACGAATAGAGCTACCTCGACTTCCGGGAGTACAGTTACTCAGAGTATATATATATATAACTACTATTACTAGTCGTACTACTAGTATTAATACTACTACAACCATTAACATCACAGTTACTACGAGGAGAGGGATATCCGTTTCCGTTTTAGCGTGACGTAATTACTAAATTTCTAAAACTCGTATAAGGAATGAACGAGAGTAGACGAACGATCCATGTCCATATTTTATATCATTTCTTTTTAATATATTTTTTTTTATTTCTTCTTATTTCATTTCATTTTATCCTTTCATTGTATCTTACGTGAATAGGAATATCTGTTTTCGTTTTAGTCTGACGAGAAAAGGAAATATTTTTATACTCATATGAAGAGTGATCGAGAATAGACGAACGATACAGATCACAATTTTGTTTTCAATTTATTTTTCATTTTATTTTTATTTATTTTATTTTATTTTATTTACCTCGCTCTCGTTTTGTTGTTTGTATTGAAATAAGGATTTCATTTGAACGCTCAAGAAAGATTATCCTTTAAGCGACACCAGTCATTTCATTCGAAGAAAATTTAATTGACTTTTCCCCTTCTAAATCTTTTGAGCTCATCAAATAAAAGTTAGCCGAGTATTTTTTATTTTTATTTTTCGACATAATCAGGGATTAAATCATTAATTCAACGAAATCATAGAAACCAAGATCACATTTATTTATAAACGTATTAATACTTGATCCCTGAAAGAAATAGGATACGAAGACCGCAAATGGAATGATCGCGTTCAGGGACGGGAACAATGGCGGGATTTGGTATTTGCGGCAATGAACTTTCGAGTTCCTAATGCCACTTAATAATAATAATTAATACTTGATCAATTTGTTAATCGAAATAAAATCGCAATTGATTTGATAAGGTGCAAAATATAATTTTCTCTCTTTTTCCTTTCTCTTTTTTTTTTTATTTTATAAGATACTTTTCATGATTCAAGCTTAAAATCTTAAACATCGATTTACACGAAAGTATACTCTAAAGCTTATAAACTATACTCACGCATCTCACGTTACCATCCATGTTAAGAAACTTGGTTTAATTATGCATACAAAAACACACCACATAAATCCACATATGTTTACGTATCAAAATTTTTGCTGTTGAGAGAAGTGCCTCATTTGAACCCTCAAATGATGGTGTGTACTAACATACGTATGAAGAAATCAGTTCTATTTCCTCTTTCTTTTTTTTTCTCTCTCTTTTTCTCTCTCCCTTTTTCCTTTATCTTTCATTCTTCTTTTTCTCATACATCTTTCGAGTCAACGACTATGAAATATCGAGAGAGAATGCGTGGAACAAGAAAACCCACTTGGGAAACAGTGCTGGACCACCCTCAGAATTGCCAACATTTGCCATTGAACATATCCATTGTGAATTACTCAAGGTTTCGCACGTGCTTCTAACACCATCACCATCATCACCAT